GACAGGAGTGATGACAGCTGATGTTTACTCAACGCTTATTTTGTTCCAGGCATGGCTCTAGGTGACCGACTAGTTATCTCATTTAACCCTCACTGTAACTTTGTGGAAGCCCTGATGGCACAGTGGTTAAGTACTCAGCTGCTAACCGAAAGGTCAGCAGTTTGAACCTACCAGCCGCTCTGCAGGAGAAAGATGTGGCAGTCTGCTCCGGTAACGATTACAACCTTAGAAACCCTATGGGGCAGTTCTACCCTGTCTTGTAGGGTGGCTATGAGCTGGAATCAACTCAGTGGCAATGGGTTATAACTCTGTGGAAGGGAGAGTTATTACCCCTGATGATAGATGAGCAAAGGGAGGCAAAGAGAGCTTAAATAACCTACCCACTGCATGACACAGCAGCAGTTTTGTCCAGGACTGCCTCAGCCACAGCCCCTCCTCTTTCCCACACTGCCACACTGCTTCGACTACTAGATCAATCAAATGTGGTGACAGGTGAGGGACATTACACACGATTTCCCTGAAGCCCACAATTACCCTGCCTGGTGGGCATCAGCCCCCTTTTACGAATGAGGAAACTGAGGCTCAGAAAGGGTAGGTGACTTGTCCAAGGTCACACAACCAGGACTTGGGGGTTCCCGGCTTTTAAATGAGGTCTTCCAGGTTCTAAAAGCCACCCTTTCTGGATTATTATGGGTGTGAACGAGGCCCAAGGGGAGATGGACTCCAACGTCTGAGGACAAAATGGTTGGGTGCCATCCATCCCAAGAGACAGCTCCATGGCTGGTATCAGGAGACACAGAATAAACAATTCCCGACAACATGATACTCACAAATAGGGCTCAGTGACCTCCATGACAGAAGGCGAGACTCTGGCCCTACGGGAGGTTTTGAAAGAAGTAGGTCACCTATACTTTGTGGTCTAGACAAGGAAGCCAGGCATTCTAGGATTCTGGAGGAGTTCCCAGTCACTACCACTTCTCACTGCATAGATTTAGTTGTGATTTTTTTGTCTTAGAGTGTATAAAACATAAATGTACATTTTCACGAACCTTAATAAAATACATATCCATTTAACAACCACCCAGGTCTAGCAGTAGACCATTATCAGCATTTCAGAAAGTCTCCTAGGTCCCTTCCCAGTCACATCCCTCCCTCCCCTAGAGGTAAACACTATCTTGACTTTGTGATAATTATTCCCTTGCTTTTCTTTATAATTTTACCATGTATGTATGATCCTCAAATAATACATGGATTAATTTTGTCTGTTTTTGAACTTTATGTAAATGGATCATACACTGTGTCATCTTTTGGCTTTGGCTTTTGTTCAATGTCTGTACAATTCATCCACACTGTTGCATGTAGTTGTAGATATTTCATTCTCATTGTATAATATTCCATTCTGAGGACATACCACAACTTATACTCTTATTGGCATGTCTTATTTTTCTCTTTACTTGGAGTTTTTAATATATTCTAGGTTTGAACCTTTCATCAGTTATACATATTTCAGTTATCTTCTCCCAGTTTGTGGCTTGTGTTTTCACTTTTTTTTTTTTGATCAGTAGACATTTTTAATGTTAATGCAATTGAATGTTTTGTTATTTTTATTTATGGTTAATGCTTTTTACGTCTTGTTTTAGAAATACTTTTCTACCATGAGTACATGAAGGTATTCTGTCATATTCTTAAAGCTTTTTGGTTTTGCTTTTCATATTTAAGTTTTGAATCCAGCATAATTTTTAATTATGTTGTGATGTAAGGATCCAATTTCTTTTTTTTTTCCAATAACCAGTTATTCCATTTCTTGGAAGTCCAGCCATTCCCTCACTGGTCTGCAATACCTCCTTGGTCACATATTGTGTGTCTACATATGAATAGGTCTGTTTCTGAGACCACTAGTCTTTCATTGGCCTATTTGCCTATCCTTGCAGCAATATTACACCATCTTAATTACTATGCTTTTATATTAAGTATGGGTGTCCTGGCAAGTCTTGACACTTCCACAAAAATTTAAGAATTAACTTGTCATGATCCACACACATTCAGAATCTATTAGGATTGTGATTGGATTTTCACTGAACCTACAAAGAGTCTAAAGAGGACTGATAGTTTTATATTGACTCTTCCATTCAATGACCACCATGTATCTATTTATTTAGATCTTTTAAAATGTCTTTCAATGAGGTGTTTTTTCTTTCCAAGAAGATCTAGCTCTTTTTTGTTAGATTTATTTTTTAGTTCATAAATTGTATCTGTTAGATTTTTGTCTGTTGTTGGCATATAAAAGCAATAGATTTTTAAATATGGGTTTTGTATCCAGAAATCTAAATTCTTAATCATTCTAATAATTTATCCATGAATTATCTTGTATTTTCTATATACACAATGTACCATATACAAATAATGACAATTCTGTTCTGGCTAGGACCTCCAGTACAATGCTGCGTAGAAAGAGTGATAGCAGGCATCCTTGCTGTGTTCCCACTGTCAAAGCTCGTAACATTTCACTTTTAAGTATGTAGTTTACTGTAATCTTTGTAGATACCCTTTATGTTAGGAAAGTTCATTCAACTAATTTGCTAAGAATGGCATCTTTAAACCTTAAACAAGAAATATCCTCTAAAGTCTTCTTAAAACCAAACGACAGTTTAGCTTAACTAGTAAAGAATGTCTGCCTTGAGCACTGAGCTCTTTTAAGATCTGTATGGGAACAAATTGACAACAGCAACTTGAAAGATTAGATACGAACCTTAGGGCGCAGTGAGTTTATATTGAGGGAGGAACAACTTGGAAAAGAAGAATGAGACTGGTTGCACAATTCGAAGAATGTCATCAGCATCACTGAATGGTACATGTAGAAATTGTTGAATTGGTGAATGTTCTGCTGTGTATATTCTCAGCAACAACAACAAAAATAAAATAGATTATTTAAAAAAACCTGAAATGAAATGAACTATGCTGACTGAGTTCAAATGTTAAACCACATTGCATTCTTGCAATAAATCTAACTTGGTCATATTATAATTTTTTAATGTATCTGACTTAGGCTACTATCACTTGGTTTGGAGCATTTACATCTGTGTTCTTGAAATTGTTCTATAATATTCTTGTCAGGCTTTAGTATCATAAAATAAGTTGGGAATACTCTTTTTCTACATTCTGAAATTGCTTTTGCAAAATGGAATTATTTGTTCCCTGAGTGTTTAACCAGCAAAGCCATCTGGGTCCAGAGTTTCTGTGTGGAAAGATTTCTGGCTACAGGTTCTGTTACTTTAATGGTTGTAGAACTACTTGAGCTTTCTATTTCTTTTTGGTAGGTTATGTTTGTAGGAATTTGTCAATTTTATCTAATCTTTCAATCCAATCGGCATAAAGTTGCCTTTTTGGACAATGATCAAATTATTACATCAGCAGAAGTCCACAGACACGTCTGGACTTTGGTGTTTGACAAAGTCTCTCTGAATATCATTGAAATACAGGCGAAATATGGGTGTGGTGAACTTGTTTTCACTAGCTGTTTCCCACCTCCAGACCTCTATACATGCTATTCCTTCTGACTGGATTGCCCTCTCCTCCCCTTCATTACCTAGCAGATTCTTTCTTGTTTTTTAAAACTCAGTTCAGATTCTTTCTCCTCCAAGAAGGCTTCCAGAGTCTTTGAACTAGGCTGAGCATCTGTCCTGGGACTCCCAGTCCACTGAATCTATCACTGTTAATGCACTGGCCACACTGCATTGAAATTCTGTTTCTGTGCCTATCTCCCCAGCTAAACTGTGAACTCCTTTCTCTGGGTTCTCAGAGCAGAGAAGAGGTGGTCAGTCAACAGTTGGTGCAACTGAACTGAGCTAGTAACCATTGAATGACCAACTAAGTTCTCTAGCCATGTCTCTTTATATTTTCCCCACGTATGTTTGTTTGTTCATTTATTTCATTCAGTGAATACTTACTGAGCACCTATTGTGTGCCAGGCACTGTTCTGGAAGAGAGGCCAGTTAGGAAGGAGGAAAGCTAGGAGAGTCTAGTGTCCTGGAAACCAAGTGAAGAAACGGTTTCAAGATAGAGATGATCAGTTGTGCCAAATGCTGCTGACTGGTTAAGTAAGATGAGGTCTGAGACTTAACTGTTGATACAACAATGTAGAAATCATGAGTGATTTCAACAGTTTGGCTGAAATTGTTGGGCAAAAATCTGATTGGGGATATTTCAGAAAAGTACTGGAGGAGAAAAACTGAAGAAAGCTCAAATAAATATTTCCTTCAAGAAGTTTTGCTTAAAGGGAAGCAAATAAATGTGTGTCTTATCTTGCTATTTGCGTGCAGTTAAATATAACTATTCTTTCTTTCAAAGGTTCTGGATTTTCTGTTTTGAGTAGAAATGCAATGTCTGTGGACAGCAACTTCAGTATGAATTTTTCACAATACATTTAACTCCTCTGTCCTTTCTGAGGCCTTCTTTGTTTTGGGCACAGAGGGATCTCCCTGCCGATGTCAAAGGCTGTTTTCTCAGTAACCTCAAAATCTTGTGGCTGATTCAGAACTGATGTCCCCACATCCACATCTAACCACATCCACCACTGCAGCTACGTGAGTCACACCAAACCCTCATGTGGCCATCACTCTTCCTCTCTCCCTGGCTGCCCTCCCCCCGACCATCCATATACACACATACATGTTCCCACAGGCAGAACATAGGAGACAAAGGACTTGCCTCCCAAAGACCACATGGATTAGAACTACAAGGTGAGGTGACACAGATCCTCAAGGACATACTGAAGCAGCAGCAGCAGGCATAGCTACATCCCGCCCCCACTTCCCATCATGGTCTGCCCACAGAAAGTGACCACCCTCATGCCCAAACAGGAGAACATTGCACAGAAAGACAAGTAATTTCTCATAGAGCTCTATTGTGGCATATAATAATAGGTACTCTATATAAATTAAATTAAAAATAAAGCTCCAGCAGGTTGCACAGTGTGGCTGTTAATAAATATATCTCTGGGTAATTGTGCCCCAAGACCAGCTCATGACCACTCTCCCTCGTCCAGAGAATTATACAAAAATAAATACAGGCTTGGGGAGGGGAGGCATGCCCAGTTCCATTCTGAAAGTTTTTCTCATTCATACCATCTACCTGTCCCCTATTCCTCTCCACTGGCATCACCACAGGAATCCCTGCACTGACAGGGGAATTCAGAGACAGGAAGGCCTCTCTCAGAAGCAAAGGATCAGGACCCCCTCACTGCACAGGCCAAATATCCCATCTCAACCCTCTGGGGATGGTGCAGGTGCTATCCTCTTCCTGGGCCCCAGTGAGGGGGAAGACTGTTATTGCCAATTCCATAAGCAGCCCCTATGAGAACCAGGCCAGAGAGAGGCACAGTGCAAGCACCAGGAGGGACACACCACTGTTCAGAGCCACAGGGACCACCACCAGCCCAGCCAGGACCCCCAAAGTCTGGGCCAAGGGCACTCGTAGCTGGGGAGGCAATACACACACACTTTCTGCAGGGGCTGCTAGGGCATGAGACTTCTTTTGAGGCTCAAAACTTGGGCCTGAACCCTCTTCATCCTGGGAGATCATATAGGGCCTGGCCATGCTGGAAGGACAGACTTCAGCCCCCAAGGGGCCGAGGAGGTTGGGTTTTTGCCCCTGCCTAGGGATTGGAACAGCTGGCTCCTTGCCAGATATAGGAACCAAACTGTCTGCCCACTCAGTGGTGGACTCCGTCAGGGTTTTTGTCATGGCTTCCCCTGGGGAGCTGGTCACTCCAGCTATCACCCTAATCATGTGTAAAGAGTCAGTGTCCTTGCCCATACCCTTATCTGGATCCCCAGTGAACTGGTCCTCTGTATCAAGAACCACAGAGTTGTCACATCCCAGGCCCTCTGCCCATGGGAGCCACACATCTCCCATAGTGGCTACCACAGAATGGGCCCCAGAGAGGATTTCCGGAGGTGATTCCTTGGGGGTGTCCTCTTCCGCGCTGGACTGTGTAACGGAGAGCCCCTCTTCGCCCTCCCCCTCCTCGTCAGGGTCTTCGGTGTCCTTGATGAGCTCTACACCACACCCCAGCCGGGCATAGTGCAGTGTGATCTCCTCAGCCAGGGCACTGTTCAGGGCCCGCTCGGGGCCAGGCCACTTCAAGATCAGGTCACGGTCCGTTAGTATGCCCAGGGGATGGCTGGGGGACACCCCCCCATCTGCGGGGCCCTCCCCACCACCCCCTACCCCACCTGCAGCCACAGCGGCCCTCAGGCGGCTCAGGTGGGACAGGTAGAGCTGCTCCAGCTCCTGGTCAATGGTGTCCTCGCCAACCAGCTCCTCCAGCCCACTCATGACCTCCAGATACCCAGGGGGTTCATCCATAATAGCACCCACAGTGGGGTCCTTTCGGCCCCCTCCATTCTCACTGGATACTTCCCATGTGGCCTCCACCTGGCTGGGTTCCAGGAGAGGCCCGGTTGCCCCGTCACTCGCATCGGGCCCCGAAGCCTGGTCCCTGGGGGAGCCACCTAGGCCACAGAGAAGGGAGGAGGGGGGAATCCTGATGGCCGGTGCTTGGGGAACCTCTGTGAAAGCCACAGGTGGACTGCTTCTGGGGATGTCACCTTCCTCTGGGGAGTTGCCAGTCACTGTAACTTCAGAAACCTGGAGCCATGGAGGGGTGAGGAGGGAGAAGAGGAGGGGAGGGAAGGAAAAGGGAAGGGAATGAAGTAGAGGAGGGGATGGGATAAGCAGAGACAGTGAGAACTGGTGACAGCCCACACCCAACCCCACAGGAGTTTCCAGACAAAAACTCCTTACAGAGCCCTCTGTGATTCTCTAAACTCCAAAAGACTATTATCTATATTAAAATAACAAAATTAGATGGAGTAAAGGAGCAAATGGCTTCCTGCAGATGATAAAGCTGAAGAATTCAGTGGGCATCAGTATCTGGTGAATGACTCCATCAGTAACTACTATGGGTATACCTTCAAAATAAATCCAGAATATCCATATTAATTCATGGTATATTTTCTTCTTTTTAAAAAAAATTATTTACTAGCTCTGTCTCTCGTAAAGGCCTTTAAAAAATGACCAATCTAGTAGCAATGAGCACCTAGCACCCAGATCTTGGTTTCTAAATATCATTCTCCACTAAAAGGAACCAGGGCTCCTTAAAGAAATGGCTGTGTGCCAGGTTTGGGCAGCAAACGTACAAGATGAGTCTGGCACATCTTGTCATACCAGAAGGTGAGGAAGTGCTCAAAGAGTGATGGAGACATGTCAAAAGGACTCAAGAGCTAATCTAAATAAGTTCCCACTGGCCAAAGATGATTCAATTTAATCATCAAAGTAAGTGCAATGGATGAAACTCATCAAATATGTTTAAAACCCACGTGTTAACAACAATACACATAAAACAAAAATCCTCTAATTGGTCACCTGTGGAGGAGTTAGTTCATTTATTCTGGAAACTGGGAAATAAAAGGGAAAAAATGAAGTATTTTTACTGCTTTTCCTGTACAAACTACACCTCAACGTAGCCAAAAGTTGATGTGGGAAAGCTTTTCTTTAGAGAAGAATTCCAGTTAATACATGAAGAAGGAATAACAGGCTTAAAACATCACCAATTTGCAACCTCTAATGAAATAATGGAGCCCTGGTGGTGCAGTGGTTAAGAGCTCAGCTGTTAACCAAAAGATCAGCAGCTCGAATCCACCAGCCGCTCCTTGGAAACCCTATGGGGCGGTTCTACTGTGTCCTATAGGGTCGCTATGAGTCGGAATCAACTCGATGGCAACAGGTTTGGGTTTTTTGTTTTTCTATTGCAATAACCTGGTGGTGCGATGGTCAAAGCGTTTGGTTGCTAACTAGCAGTTCAAACCCACCAGCTGCTCCACGGAAAAAAGATGTGACAGTCTGCTCCCATGAAGATTACAGTCTTGGAAACCTGTGGGGCAGTTCTACTCTGTCCTATAGGATCGCTATGAGTCAGAATCGACTCAATGGCAATGGGTTTGGTTTTGGTTAATGAAATAATGGACCTAGGCAATAATAGTAGAGCTCTGGTGGCACTGTGGTTAAGGGCAATAATAACCAATGGCAGCTAAAACCATTAAGTGATAAGCTAATGGAGAACTCTATAAGGGAGAGACGAGGCTGACACCACCTGAACTCACTGATCAATCTCAACATCATAAAAGGAGACCTCCAAAACCATGTGCCCTTGATAACGATGAAACAGGAAGTACACGGCACCACAAAAAAAAAAAATCAACTGAATCTGATCAATCCTTTAGAGCTAAGTACCAGTTTATAAAAAATATAGCAGCCAGAAAAACAGTAAATGTGTTTCCAAATGGATATAATCAGCCAAATCCAGACTGTGAGAAATTCAACAGGACAAACAATAAGGTTTCTTCAACAAATAAACTGCAAGAAAAGAAAGTGGGGGAGAGGTAAACCAACAGATTTAAAAAAAATCTAGAGACACATCAACCAAATGCAATGCGTAGACATTGTTTGGATCCTAAAACACTTATGAGATAATCAAGGAACTCTGAACATAGACCAAATATGTGATGATACTAAGGGATTATTGTTAATTTTCTGAAGTGTGATGATGGTACTATGGTTATGTTTTCCTACAAGTTCTTAATCTTTAGAGATACAAACTGAAATACTTATGACAGAAATGATCTCTGGATTTATTCCAAAATAATTCTGTAGGAAACGAGAGGGGAGTAGGCGGGGGTATAGACAAAGCAGGACTGGACATATGTTGATATTTGTTGAAGTTGGGTAATGGGTATATATTGGCTCATTATGCTCATTTTCTCTACCTTTATATATGTTTGAATTTTTTTATAATAAAAAGTTAAAATACATACACAGACACACACACATTAACACATATCTCCACTATTGGTGAAATCTGACTACTTCTCTCTACCTTCCCTGCCACCACCATCATCACTTGCCTGGACTACTGCAGTAGCAGCCTCCTTACCTGTCTCCTGCTTCCACCCTCAGCCCTACTGTCTATTTTCCACACAAAAGCCAGAGGGATCCTGTAAATCCTAAATCAGATCACATCCTTTCTCGGCTCACAACTCTCCTTTGGCACCCTCCTCACTCAGAGTAAAAGCCAAAGTCCTCACCATGACCCACAAGGCCCTACAGGATCCGTCCCCCATCGCCTCTCTGATCCCACCTCTTATCACTCTCCCCTTATTCACTCTGCTCCAGGCACACTGGCCTCTGCTGTTTCTCACACCCAACAGTCATGGCTCCACCTCAGGGCCTTTGCACTTGCCCGGAATGTTCTTCCCCTACTTTTCCACATGGCTCACTCTCTCACCTTTTTCAGATCTTTGCTCAAAGCTCGCTTATCACTAAGGCCTTCCCTGGCCACCCTATCTAAAGTTGCAAGACTTCCCCCCACCACACACACACACATTCCCTATCCCCTTTTCCTGATTTATTTTTTTTTTCATTAGCACTCATCATCATCTAAAATACCATATATTTTAACTATTCATAATATTATGTCTCACTCCACTAAAATGTAAATCCCATCAAGACAGGGTTTTATTCACTACTGTATTTCTAGTGTCCACAACAGTGCTTGGCACAGAGCAAGCACTCAGTAAATATTTTCTGAATTAGTAAATGAAACTTCTATAAGCCCACAAGGATGTCCTTTATCACCACTCTTATTCAACATTGTATTTGAAGTCCTGGTGAGAGCATCAAGGCAAGAAGAGGAAATAAACGGCATCCACATTGGTAAGGGAGAAGTAAAACTAACCCTATTCATAGATGATATGATCCTAAACACAGAAAATCCAAAGGACTTCACAAGAAAGCTACTGGAACTAATAGAAGCATTCAGTAAAGTACCAGGATACAAGATCAACATACAAAAATCAGTTGGATTTCTATGCATCAACAAAGAGAACTGTGAAAAGAAAATCAGGAAAACAATACCATTTACAATAGCCTCCAAAAAGATAAAATACTTAGGAATAAATCTAACCAGGGATGTAAAAGATTATACAAAGAAAACTATAAAACACTACTGCAAGAAACCAAAAGAGATCTACATAAATGGAAAAACATACCATGCTCTTGGATAGGAAGACTTAATATTGTGAAAATCTCAATACTACTGAAAGCAATATACAGATATAATGCAATCCCAATCCAAATCCCAACAGTATTCTTCACTGAGATGGAAAAACTAATCACTAACTTTATATGGAAAGGAAAGAGGCCCTGAATAAGTAAAGCTTTATTCAAAAAAGAAGAACAAAGTAGGAGGCCTCACACTACCTAATCTCAGAACCTAGTATACAGCCACAGTAGTCAGAACAGCCTGGTACTGGTACAATAGACACACAGACCAATGGAACAGAATTGAGAACCCAGACGTAAATCCATCCACCTGTGGACAGCTGATCTTCGACAAAGGACAAAAGTTTACTGAACAGGGAAGAGACAGTCTCGTCAACAAATGGTGCTGGCAAAACTGGATGTCCATCTGCAAAAAACTGAAACAGGACCCATACCTCACACCATACACAAAAACTAATTCCAAATGGATCAAAGACCTAAATATAAAACTTAAAATTATAAAGATCATGGAGGAAAATTTAGGGACAATGCTAGGGGCCCTAATGTATGGCATAAATAGAATACCAAACATAACTAAAAACGCATATGCAGAAGAAGATGACATAGATAAATGGGACTTCCTAAAAATTAAACACTTGTGCTCAACAAGACTTTTCCAAAAGAGTAAAAAGAGAACCTACAGGTTGGGAAAAAAAATTTGTCTATGACATATCCCACAAGGGTCTAATCTCCAAAATTTATAGAAAACTTCAAAAAAAAGACAAATAATCCAATTAAAAAATGGGCAAAGCATATGAACAGACACTTCGCCAAAGAAGACATTCAGGCTGTTGACAAACATATGAAGAAATGCTCACAATCAATAGCAATTAGAGAGATGCAAATCAAAACTACAATGAGATACCATCTCACCTGACATTACTGGCACAAATCAAAAAAACAGAAAATAATGTTGGCGAGGATGTGAGGAGACTGGAACTCTTACACACTGCTGGTGGGAATGTAAAATGGTACAACCACTATGGAAAATGGTATGGTGCTTCCTCAGAAAGCTAGAAATAGAAATATCTTATGATCCAGCAATCCCACTCCTAGGTATATACCCTAAAGAAATAAGAGCCATGACATGAATAGACATACGCACACTCATGTTCACTGCAGCATTATTCACAATAGCAAAAATGCGGAAGGAACCTAAGTGCCCATCAACAGATGAATGAATTAATAAACTGTGGTACATACACACAATGGAATACTACACAACGATAAAGAATAATGACAAATCTGTGAAACATCTTGCAACATGGCTGAACCTGGAGGGCATTATGCTGAGTGAAATAAGTCAATTGCAAAAAGACAATTATTGTATATCGCTGCTGTTGAGTCAATTTCGACTCATAGTGACCCTATAGAACAGAGTAGAACTGCCCCATAGGGTTTCCAAGGAGCGCTTGGTGAATTCTAACTGCCGACCTTTTGGTTAGCAGCCATAGCACATAATAATTGGTAACCACTATACCACCAGGGTTTCCAATTATTGTATAAGACTGCTATTATAAAGTAACAACAAAACATTTACACACGGGGGAAAAAAAAACTCTTTGATGGTCACCAGGGATGGGAGGGGAATGGAGGGAGAATTACCACAGAGATAGTAGACATGTGTTAATACTGGTGAAGGGAAAGCAATATACAATATGGGAGAAGTCAGCACAACATGACCAAGGCAAGAGAGGACACTAAGAGGAACTCAGGAATGAAGGACAACTATGGTAACTACTATAGTATAGACAATCCTGCAACAATAGAAGCAACAAACAATAATCCACAAATGGACACACAGATAGATAGATATGCCAAGAGGTGAGGAAGGGCGTAAGGGAACATACCCACTGGCAGATACAGGTTCAATGGTGGAAATTTCTAAATACAAGACTTTAGGTGCTCCTCATATATTAATATAGACAATAGAGCACACAAGTGGCAGAGTCAGGCAAACCTCTTAGACATAACTAAACACCTCACGAGATGAAGTTCCCAGGCTCAAAGGCAAAGGACCATAGACTTGGGGGACATCTATGTCAATTGGCACAACATGGTTCTTAAAGACAATGTTCTACATCCTACTTTGGTGAGTAGCATCTGAGGTTTTAAAAAAAGCTTGCGAGCAGCCATCTAAGATACAACTCTCGGTCTCTTCTAGTCCAGAGCAAAGGAGAGGAAAAATAACTAAAGACTCAAGGGAGCAATTAGTACAAAGGACTAATAAACCACATGAACCACAGCCTACACAACTCCAAGACCAGAAGAACTAGATGGTCCCTTGCTACCAGTACCAACCATTCTGACTGGGATTGCAATAAAGGGTCCCCGACAGAGCAGGAGAAAAATGTAGAACAAAAGATCAAATTCACAAAAATGACCAGACTTACCGGTCTGATCAAGACTAGAGGAATCCCTGAGACTATGGCCCCCAGACACCCCTATAACTCAGAATTGAAGCCACTCCCAAAGTTCACCTTTCAGCCAAAGATTAGGCAGGCCTATAAAACAATAACACTTGTGAGGAAAGTGCTTCTTAGATCAATCAAGTATATGAGATCAAATGGGCAACACCTGCCCAAAAACAAAGATAAGGCGGAAAGGGACAGGAAAACTGGATGAATGGACACGGGGAACCCTGGGTGGAAAGGGAAAGGGGGAGAGTGCTGACACAGTGCAAGATTGCAACCAATGTCATAAAACAATTTGTGTATGAATTTTTAAATGGGAACCGAATTTGCTCTGTAAACTTTCACCCAAAGCACAAGAAAGAAAAAAAATCTTAACAACAACAAAAAAAACTTCTATAAACCCAGGTGAATAACTACATTCTACCCCTTATCCATGAGGTTCCAATTTTTGTGACCTCCCTCCAACCTAGGGCGGACCCAGAGTGAGTCAGCCCCCACCACCCAGCCGTGGCCATAGTGTGAGCCTTCTATTGAGCTGTCCCCTAGAGGCTGCAAGGGCCTGCTTACCTGAAGTGTCATCTGGGGCCATGGACGTAGAGGGGTGGGGGCCACCAGGGGACCCACTGACTCCTGGACATCAGGATACTCTGCTGAAGAGAAGAGAAGGGCAGCATTGGGGCAAGGTAGATGTACAAGCAGGCCTGATTTGGTTAAGAAAATCTGCTATTCTAGCCAGTTGGCAGTTTTGCCTCTGAAGGCTTCTATGACAGTCGAAAGCAGAGGGTCCCTCGTTTTTATAGAAAGAAAAAGGGAAGGAAGAAAGAAACGGTAAACATGAGCTAAAAGTCCCACAGCTTGCCAATTGCTTACCCACAGCAGGGATATTATCATCTATGCTCTTCATCCTCAGCTCTTCCTCATGAGGCCTGTGGGGCAGAGGAGAGAGTGCATGGGTCTGATACCCTGAAAGGTCAGTTCTGCCACCCACTGGCACCTTCTGAGCCTCTGGGGTGGCACCATCTTCACCTGACAGCTGCTGATTTCTTTTCTGCTGTCTCTTTTTACCCCAATTATAAATGTCCTACATACTCATTGTAGAAAATTTGTAAAATACAGAAAGTATAAAGAAGCAAGAAAAAAAATTACATATCAGCCAGAAACAACCACTGTACCATTTTGAAAAATTTCATTCCAGACATTCTATGCATTTTCTAAAATCATTTAGATTCTGAAGACATAGATTCATAGGTGGCTTTGTCCATTGAACAGTAAGAAACATCATTATATTTTTGTAAACATTTTACTTTTTTAAACATTTTATAGCCATTCCTTTCCTACTGAGCAGCTAGGTTTTTTTCCTTCTTTTTGCTATCACAAATCAAGCTTCCACAAACATCTTTGGGTACAATTTTATCAACATTTTGGATCATTTCTCTAGGATATATTCCTGGCTGTGGAGGAAACCACCTTTTCCAAGAAAAGGCAGGTGGAGAAGGCTGTGGGACACAAGAAGCAGCAGAGTGAAGGAAGGAAAGCAAACGGAGAATGGGAAGGGGTCATCAGGAAAAGGAAGTAACCTGAGGTCAGAGTCCTGGGCCCCCAACCCCCCACCCCCCAATATCAGCCTGGCAAGTCATTTAATCTCCCTGAGCCTCATCCACCTCACCTGTAAAATGAAGCACAGGGGAGCCAAAAGAAATGAGGGTATAAAACCCCTAACATCAGGGCCTGGTCCAGAGCAGGGACTGAATCAACAGTAGATACTCATTGGTCTTGTTTCCTCCTTCACCAGGCAACTCAGATGACAAAGTCTGAGTGACCTAAGCCAAGGGTATTTCAGCCAGATCCTGCCAGGGGTGGGGTCACGGACATCATGCAGAAATCACTGTTCTTATTCTCACAACTGAATATCAAATGTCTAGAGATTAACACAAATGAAGGAAGCATTAACTAAAACATGTTCAGAGAGCTGAGAGGAGGTGAGGCAATTGCTCAGATCCTGTTCTTCCTAAGAGTCAACGTGATAATGTTGACATTTCTGGAAATGGTTGAAACCTTGTAAAAACTCATAATCAATTACCTTCATAGAAACAGAATATCACTAGCTAACCTTTATATAGTACTTACTATGGCAGTCAACACTGTTCTAAGTGCTTTACATATATTAATCTTCACAACAACCCAATGAGATAAGTACTTATAATCCTCTGACATCTTACAGATGTTGCAACTGAGGCTGACTAAATGTCTCAAGGTCATACAGCCAGGATCCAAACCCAGGCCTTCTGGCTCCCAAGTCCATGTTCTTAACCAACAAACTGCTGCTTCTTGGAAGAGGGAACTGTGGTCTTACCCCAATCCCATCTACAATTCTTTCTAGAAGCAGAGGGAGGCATCAATAATAGGATCCCTCCTCCCTCCTTCATGCAGTACTTTCTTTGGACCTGACTTTTCCCCCACATATTTACTCCCCATTTCCCTGCCTTCATGAGACATGTGGCTAGGAGACCACTAGACACAGAAGTGGCTGCAAGAACTGCTTTTTATTAGTAACCTAGGGGAGAGAGCTTGAACCATGTACACAGATCTAGAGTACAGAAGCACTGGAAGGGACCATCTGTCTTTCTCCGTGGACCAGAGCTCACACATAACACCAGTGGTATCTAAATCAGACTACTACAGCACCTGGAGTAAGGGACTCTGAGAGCCCCGCCAATTCCCTTGCATCACAGATGAGAAAGGGGGGTGCAGAGCAAAAGGTCCTGTACCATTCACCCAGTGGATTTAAAATTCAGGTCTTTGGATTTGTGACTCAACATGATTTCTACTAGGCTGTGTTTACTGACTCATTTTGCTGGTGTAGTGTAGTCCTTCATTACCAAAAACATTATCTTCCTAGGATCTTCTAAATTAAGCCTCTTCCAGAAGACCCACAGACAGAAAGCCAGCCCTTGCTCCCAGGAACACCACTAGACAAGCTTTCCCCTGCCATCTGGCCCAGTCCTGACATGCATGACAACCAGGTTTCTAAAAGCCACTACAGAGTCATGGATGTGAAAGAAAAGGGAAACTCAAGAAGCAGCCAGCCAACAGGAAAAGAACTCCACAATTCAACTGGAGGAAGAAGAGGGAAGAAAAGCAAATACTGAATAAATTCTTCCTCTCCCAGAGTATCTCTTTAACAGATGAGGAAAGTGAAAGGAGGAGGACATCCAAACATCAGGTCAAGCAATTCAGCCAATCCCAAGATCCATGAATCAGCAGAAGTAAATATGTCACTCTCCCTTTCTCCAAAGTCAGAGAAATGAAAGCAGGAGGCACAGACATTAATTATTGTTCACTTCTTCCAACGTGGGCCCTTTTCACTGATACAAGTCATTTGAAAACCTTCACATCTATCATTCAGAGCAACACCCTTCCCTTTTTACAAATGTGGAATCTGAGGCTCAAGGAACTGAGCCTCTATACCCACACCACACTGCTAACATCCAAAGAGAGCTCCATTTTGAAAATAGTTTGAAATTGTGGGTTTAAAAAAAACACACACTAAATATTCCTGAATTGCCTTTCACAGTAAAAATTCCGGGGCAGCTATAACTTTAATCAAAATGAGGACAGTAAGAGAAATCAAGTAAAAATGTATACTGACTCACCATCAGTAACAGAGAAGTTCTTAGAAAAATGGGGAGAGGAGATTAAGAACAAAACTGAACCTACAGTGTGCCTACTGATTTTCAAGAAGGAAACCTGATCTTTTGGCACCAGCCACACAAATGCTACATGGCATCTCCTCAAGGGCAGTGGGCAGCAGTGGGCCAAGAGAGCATGGGTTCCAGCGTACACAGACCTGGACACACTTTGGGCACGAATCATCCTTCTCAGATGGTGCTTGGGAGGATTAGTCAAGATGATGTGGCCACAGAAGGAGCCATCTCAGGCCTGCACACCAGTCTCCTGAGCATGACAATTCCTCCTGCCATCAGGAAACTTGATGGCTGCTGACCTCAGTACCAGAGAAAACCAGGGGGTGAAAGAGGTGCCATCGGCCCCAGCCTTGGCCAGCCAAGACAGAACAGAAAGGTGAATCGCCAGAGAGTGAGCCAGCAAGAGAAAGCTGACAAGCTCCATGGAGAAAAAGCAAAGCAGACTTTTGGAGCAGTCACTTCACTTCCATCACTGCCACTGCCACCCTAGGCCTCTGTTAACACCCTCAATGCTCATGTTTTCAAAGAACTTGCGCCAGCCCGAAGTGGGTCATGAGCTGAAACCCAAAGGGAAACTCAGCAGACCCCAGTAATTCTGTAGTCAAACTGAAGATAATGCTAACTCCCTGAGGGACAGGTAGCTTCAGAGACCTGCCCCACAGTACTCAGAATCTTAGTTACCCTGAGCCAACTGCTTTCTGAAAAGAACAGGGTTTGAAGGCAGCTGTGAAAACCACCACCAAGTTTTGTGGGGCATTGCTTTGCCCTCCCCAACAGTCTGTGTCAGCCTCAACTCCAAGATTCACAGACAATCCAGGGGTAGGGGGAGAGTTTATTGTGCTATGAGCTTCTTTTACCACAGTGCCTTAATTATTTTGGCCATGTCCCACAGTGAGAAATACATTTTATATCATAACCCAGCACACCCATACATGTGTAAATATACATATATATATAACTGAAAAAAGGTTGTTCACAAAACAATACTTACCTTTACTGTATGTGACACACTGGTATTTCCTGTTATTCCTTTTTAATATTTGTTTGATCCAGTATATCGATCTCACATCTCAATAAAGGGTCATGACATGCAATTTTGAATAACCTCAGCTCCACCACCTACCAGCTGCGTAACCTGGGGCAAGTTACTTAACCTCTCTATGTCTCAGTTTCCTCATCTGTAAAGAGAGGATAATAGTAATACCTACCTCAGAAAGTTGAGAGGACTGAGTAAATATTGGAAATTCACCTGTAAAGTGCTTAGCACACAGTGATCCCCTCCATATTGCCACTTAGGGAAAATGGGGCTCTGAAAAGAAAAGCAACTTGCCCAGCACTGCCCAGTTGGTAAGACACATCACCCAGCCTGGTGCAGCAGTTAAAAACTGGGGCACTAGAGCAGGACCACCCTGGCTCTGCCACTTTCTTAGCATGTGGCCCCATCCCCACGTCCTTAACCATGATTTTCCTTAACCAGTTTTCTGCAGAATAAAGGAAGATCACTTTCACATTAAATTTTCACGCTCCCAACAACTGAGATAATCTCTGACCCATCCTGTTTCAACTTTGGTTGTTCTGGGTTTCCAACTTGGATATCAAGTTGGATCTCATTCATTCCCTTGTAGGTACACCTAAAAAATACTGAGGCTTTACTGTGCATCAGCCCCAGTGCCTGGCCCTGGAGACACAGTAGTGAGCACACTCAACTATGAATCTTACAATTTAGTGTTGAGGAAAACATTTTAAAAAAAAACTCACACTCATTCTTTCAACAAACATTTATTGAGCACCTGTTAGGTGCCAGGCACCGTAGCAGGCCCTGTGGGAATACAGTAATGAACAAAAGCAGACCATGTCCCTACCCCTCATGGAGCTTACAGTCTAGCAGGGCAGACAGACAGTCATCCAGTAATCCCCTAATGAAGGTCTAACTACAGTCCATGCCCTTTAGAAATAGAAAAACAGCAGAGGCTGCTGGGACTTAAGGATGCATAGAAGGAAAATGGGCTGGGGTGGGTAGGAGAGTAAGAGGCTGTTCAGGAACACTGTAGGGGAAGTGATGATTTCCATCTTAAACAAGGTGAGTTTGAGGCATCTTTGGGACATCAGCCAAGTGGACACACCAAGGTTGCATACACGAGGCTGAAGGAAATAGCAAGGAGAAAGAGAGGGACACAGAGGTAAGAGGAAAAGCAGCAGAGCGTGGTCCCACAGATGACAAGGAAGAAAAGTGTTTTTAAGTGGGAGTGGTCAACCACTTCAAGACGAAAATCAAAAAACCATCTGTGGAATTTGACAGATGCAGGGTGCTGAAGAATACACATGGATGAAGACGTGAGGAAGGCAAGTGAAGGCAATTCTTTACAGAGAGAAGAGGGGAGGGTAACTAAGTGCTGGCCTGGAGCAGCAGGAAGAGAACATGGGGTCAAGGAATAGTTTAAGACAGTAGAGAGGTTAGCATGTATAAAGGTCAACAGGGAGGACTCAAGTGAGGGCAATTGAAAACATGCCAGGAAAGAAAGGGTAATTCTGTCAGGTTCTAGAGCAATGGCAGACAATGGGACCTAGAGCACAGGTGGAGGGACTGGCCTGAGGGAGGAAAAGGGATCCCTCCTCACCTCTAACACAGAGGAGGGAACTCAATTTGCAAGCTGTGGGGAGTTCCATTCTTATGATTCTATTTGTTTTGTGAAGCAGGAGATGAAGTCTGAAGGTAAAGAATATTTGAGACACATCAGAGAGGAGACAAGAGTGGATCTGAAAAATACAGTACGACTGCCAGGCAGGGTGGAAAATGATCCTGATTTTGTAGTGATGCTAATCTGCTCTGCTGTATGACGGTCTCTAACAAGGCTTGTCTACCTAGCTGATCACCAGTACTATGAAAAAACTGGGAGGTCTGTGGAGGTTGGGATGGGCTTCCTGAGGAAGTCCTCTTTAAACTGAAGGATCAACATGAGCCGACTGCAAGGGGGTTAAGACAAACATTCCCGGTGAAGGAAACAATGAACAAAGGCCTTGTGCAGGAAGGAGCAACGTCCCTTGGTAACAGAAAAACCATGGTGACAAGAGCTTAGAAGGCAGAATGGTGTAAGAAGACACTAGAAGCAGGTGGAGGGCAGATGGGAGGGGGGCAAGACGGGGTGCTTGGGAGGCAAGAGGGGGTGCTTGAAGGCCATGGTGAGGCTTTCTTTGTCTTTATTTTAAAGAAAAATAGGATACCTCCTAAGGGTTTTAAACCAAGGCAAACCAGGGATACTCCTTTACACACCAGCCCTGAGACTTTGGACTCTGGAAGCCTCAGTTTGTTCATCCAGGAAAGAGGGATAAAAACGTTCTATTTCACAGGGAATGTTGGCAGGATTAAATAAGACTTTGCACGAAAGTACTCAGCAAAGTACCTAGCAAAGAGCAGGGTCTCGCCAGTTTTCTTACAACCAAGCCCTCTATACCTGCTCCTCCCACCCAGTCCCACCACACAGCCCTCTGATGTCATAGGACCAGCCTGTATCTCTTTTATCCTGCTTGAACCTAGCACTGTGCTTAGAACATAGTGGGCCAACAAATCCTTGTTGATGGGTTATCTCTAAGCCTAAGGATTACCAAAAGCCTGGTCCAGCAACCCAGGGAATGCAGCCATTTGGGTTTCTGAGATGCTCCCCAATGGCTACCACAGTTTCTCCCGTGTCCCCACCTAATGTAGTTGTGCCCAGCACACAGTGGGCCTGTAGCCAACATTTCCTGAATGGGAAGCCCTCTACGATGGGGCTCCCACAAGTAAAGGATATCCCCTTAGATCCTCCACATTTCCCAAGAGGGCTGGGTCACAGGGGGTGGCTATTCTTCAACAGTGCTCTAAGTCACCAGCAGCACACAGGTTTTAAAACAACAATAAGTTAAAATGTACTCGCCAAGAAAGCCACCAACCTACAAAGAAAACCTTATCGCTGATCTTGCAATGAGCACCAACCTCCCCTTTGCAGGAGCTGAGATCAAAAGATAAAGAAGCTATCAGAAAACCATCTGCCCACTTAAAATAATATCACAAGTCATGTTAGGAACCACAGACCTGGGGCCAGGTACCAAAACAATTGTCTGACGGGCTGCTTCAATTTCTCCTTAAAACCACCCATGTATTTTTAAAGAAAAACACCTTCTCCACCCACCATGGCCCTGCAAGGTTTTGATTTCTCTGTTCCCTTCCTTTTTTCACACTCTTTAAAATGACCAAATTCTGGTACCCAAACTATCGCATCTTACAGACAGGGCTCCCACAACAGCTATCTGGGATGACGACGTGGGAAAAGTGATAGAAATGAAGACAACTGTGGGGTGCTGGAAATGCTCTATATCTTAATCTGCATGGTGGTTACACAACTGCATACATATGAAAAAATCCACTGAGCCATACACTTATGATTAGTACATGTTACTGTACATACACCTTAACAAAACAAAAAGATGAGGAAAATAAAGGTAAAAGGAAAGCATGACATGCTGGGAACACTAGGCATGAAATCCAGAATTTGCCCTGAATCCTGTCAGGCCTTCAAGAGGATCAGTAGTAAAAAAAATTCCCTACCATCTTTTACTTGGTCCTGTCACTCACTCGCTGAGTGACCTTGAGCAAGTTGGTTCACCTCTCTGAGCTACATTAGTTTCCCCCTCTATTAAACGGGGATAATCACAACACCTACACCACATACCACACACAGCAGGACTCAGTGAGAATGGAGTTGTAGCTCTTAGCACAGAGATCAGTAAATGCTGGCCACTACTATCTTTCGCAGATACCACCATACTTCAGTTAACCTGTCCCATGTTTGCTGTCTAATCCAATCACTCAAAGTGACTATCATTCTCCTTAAACAGACGAGGAAATGGAGGCACGGCCACACAGCTGGGGATGAGCAGAGTTTAGGAGGGGACTCCAGGAAACTGTGTGTGACTCCCTAAATAATTAAACAGTGAAACCTGTGAGAGCCAGAACTCGACGGGACTGCCTTGTTTTTCTGAGTCTCCCAAGTTTTCTGCCTTTGACAGGGTGCAGTCTTACCACTTTCCTATCACTATTAGTAGAAAATATTTGAGTTTTCCTTCTCTGATAGGTTTCTGCCTTACACAGGTTCCGGCTGTTGCAGGTTTTACTGTACTAGCTAACACCTACATGGCACTATGAGCCAGGCCTGGTTTTGAGTACTTTTACTCATATTCTATGAGGCAGGTACTATAATTATCTCTATTTTATAGATGAGGGCATTGAGGCACAGTATAATTAAATGACTTGGCCAAGGTCACAAAGCCTTGTGGCAGGGCTGGGATGTGAAGCCAGGCAATCTGAAGCCAGGATCCATACCTTTACCACCATAAGGAAAGTCATGCTGCCTGCACCCTCAAGACTAAGTCTCAGGTTAAGGTGGGGGCTCACAGGTCAGTAAGTGGGTTTTAGCCAGTTTGCTCACCTACCCAGGCACATCTGCCCGCCAGCCCAGAGCTAGACCTTTCTGAACCACTCACAGCCTACAAAGGCCTTGCCAGGACCAAAAGAACAGCAGATTCCACAAACACCTTGCTGCAGCCAGTGGCTTCAGATCAAGCATATACAAGGCCCAGAAAGCATTTTCTCATTACCAATCCTCCCTGGTGGTGCAGTGGTTAAGAGCTTGGCTGCTAACCAAAAGGCTGGCAGTTTGAATCCACCAGCCGCTCCTTAGAAACCCTATGGGGTAGTTCTACTCTGTCCTATAGGGTCACCATAAGTCAGAATCGACTCGATGGCAATGGGTTAATCCTCCCAGGAGCAGGTGAATGTATGCATTTCCCACGTGTACAGGGAGAAATCTACTTATCCCAGGAGCCAGGCTAGACTTGGGTGACCCCAAAAAGAACCAGGTTAGCTACTGTCCTTGAGGAACTCATAGCTCGATGGAGGAAACCCAGGAGAATCTCCGATCAGGGCCTCCTGGAGGTGTAACCGGTTCTTTCTCCCAGCCCCTGAATGATTACAGATGGTATGGCAAAACACAAGGGACATGAGCTTCAAGTCCAGGCCCCATGTGGCTCTGACTCTGCCAGAGCCACTGCTTCCCTGTGAGAGCATGGGCTCAGGTCCTTACCTCCACAGGAGGCCTCAGACTAAAGGATAACATTAAGGAGAGTGCACAGGCTTCAAGGTCAAATGCCATCACTTCCTCAACCAATCTCTCCACCTCTTGAACCTTGGACTCTTGCTCTGTCAGATGGGGATCAGAATCCCTACACCCCACACTGCAAGGCCCTTGGTTCACACTACCACACTATCATGTCACTGAAGTTCTCTCCATTCTACCCACTGTCCATCATTCACACCAAGCTCATTCACACCTCAGACCTTTACACTTACTGTTCCCTCTGCTAGAACACCTTTGCCCCCATGTGTGTATAACTGCTCCTTTCTATCATTCAGGACTCAGTTTAAATGGTATCTCCTCAGAAAACTGCCCCCTTTTCTCCAAACTCTATACCCCCATATCTGTGCATAACTCTTTATCATCCAGGACTCACCTCCTCAAAGGCCCTTCCTGAACAACCCGTCTAAAGCAGCAATCCCCTCCCAATTTATACCCTTACTCTATTTTACTATCCTCTCAGCAGTTAACCTTATCCCTATTTATCTTGTTTGCGTGTTGTTGTTTTTTAACTGTCTCCTATAGGAGCCTGTATGATCCTTGAGGGCAGGGAAGATGTCTGTCTTGTTCAAGGGCTTTACCGTGGAACTCAACAAATACTTACTGAAATGAATGAAACCCCAAAAATTAAAACAGTGCCTAGCACATGTCTGGCCTCCATTACTCTTTGACTAACTGAATCTGCCCTCCTCCCAGTCCTGGAAAGCAGGCCGGAGGAGTTTCTGGGCCAGGATATTTGTCCTCCATTCTAGACAGAACCCTGCGTTGGCGGAGGTGGCGCTGGCAGACATTACCTGCGCCTCACCGGCTTCATGCAGCTCTTCAGCTGCCTGGCCTCAGCCTCCACCGGACCCTGGCACTCAGGCTGTGGCTCCAGCTGCTGCTGCTGCTGGGGCAGCCCTTCGGCATCAGTGGGTGTGGGAGCGGGTGCGATCCGGAGCAGAACTGTGTAGTTGCGGCCGTGGTTGTTGGCCCAGAAAGTGCCCTCGGGGGTCTCATAGCGCACCACGAAGTCCAGGCGCGCCCCATCGCCCGCGCCCTCAGCAAAGGGAAGCTGGAAGGCAAAGCGGTCGGTGCGGCCGCCGTCATCGGGCGAGGAGGCAGACACCTGGCCAGAGCCCAGGCCAAGGCCCGGATCCAGGATGGGATCTCCTGCTCCTGTTCCTCCCGCTCCTGCCCCGGGTGGGCTGCGCGGTACATATCGCGCTGGGTGGTCGCAAAAGGAAGCCCAGCCGTCGTGTGAAGCCCGCACGTGCACTGCCTTCTCGAAGGAGCGGTTCAGCACACGTACCAACCCGCGCAGCACCGGCGGGCGCCCCCCGGGCACCCACACCCCGGCACCCCCGGGAACTGCTCCAGGAGGCGGCAGTAGCGCCTCCAGCTCCACCATGACGCGCCCCAAGCGCTCCAGACGGCCTGGCGCGGGCGGCAGCGAAAATGTGGGCACCAGGTAAAACCCCCCGTCAGCGGGGATGGGGCACTGCGGCGAGGGCTCGGGGCAAGCCTCCTCTTCTTCCTCCCCTTCATCCCCATCCTCGCCATCGTCGTCCTCGTCAGCCACGCCGCCCCCGCCATCTTGCCCGGCCGCCGCCATCTTGCCCGCCCCGGGCCCGCCCCACGGCCGGTAGCGGCGCAGTTGCGCCAGCGGCAGCCCCAGGGCCTCGTCGGCGAACAGCACCCTCCGCGGAGCCACCGCCGCCTCGGCCGATGTGCGGGGCTCGCCCGTGGCCGGCGAGGGGGGCGCGGGATGCCGCAGCGGGGGCTCCACAGGGGCCGTGCGCGCCATATCGGCGGCGGCGGCACCGACGGCACCGGCGGCGGGACCAGCGGGGGCAGGGCCTGAAGGGGCCGGCAGCCAATGAGAAGGCCAGCGCGGGAAGGGTACGGCTCACTGGGGGCAGAGGCGGTGAGATGAAGACAAGTATAGCAGGCAGCCAATGGGAAGCTGCGTGCGGGTTACGTAACGGCGAAATGAGGGCGGGAATAGCATGAAGCCAATGGGGATGCCCGAAAAGGGACCGTATAGGAGGCGGGATGATTGGGGAATCAATGGAGAGGCTGGAATGGGGTGGTCGGGAAACGGAATGAAAAGAGCAGAAGTGGGACAGCCAGTGGAAAGTCTGAGGGGGGCAGTATGTGGGCGGCGGGCAAAGTGGACCGGCTACAGGCAATGGAGTTAGCAGGGAGCGCGTGGAGAGACCCAAAAAGTGAGAGATCGTGGGTTGCGTAGGCGGTGGGATGGAAGCTAGAGACAGCGAACAGCCAATGGGGAGCCGCGCTCGGTTTGCGTAGAGGCGGGATGACGATAATGGCTGCTGCGGGCCAATGGGGAGTCTTGTGAGCGTGCACTACGACTTGAAGAGGCGGTGACAGAATAGAACTACCAATACCAAGAGGCGATGTGTGAGCAGCCTCAGAAGCAGGACCAGAGGGAGCAGAGCCAATGGGGGTGGCGGATGAAGGGGGAGTGAGGCGGGGAGAAGGCTGAGAGCCAATGGAGGAGCCAGTGTGAGGGCCGTGAGACTTCAAGGCAGTGCTAGGACTGGATGAACCGATGCAGAGACCAGAAAGTGTAGCGGAGGAAGGGAAGTCGTGGAGGTGGGACGGGAAACAGCAGACGCAGCGGCGTGCGGTGGGAGGGAACACTGTAGGTGGTGTTGAAGGAAGGGGTGAATAGCCAATGCGAAGGGCAGAGGGGAGGATGGTGCTTAGGCAGAGCCGGGACTATAGGGTGGTCGGGGCAAAAGAACCTAGGATGCAGGTAGCCAGTAGCAAAAGCATACTCCTCGTGAAGGGCCTTAGCTTCTCCCTGACGTTCCGTGCCTCTCCATTGCACCTTGGCCATGAATGTCTACAGCCTCTGAGGGCCTGGACTGCACCCTAGCGTGAGACCTAAGAAAGCAAAAAGGGCCCGCCTGTCCCAGTTACTGGGTTCCCCCTTCCCACCTCCCAGCCTTTGCTTGAATGGTGCCACTATCCGAGAATGCCCCCAGCATTCTTCAGGACTTGGCGCCATTGTTGAATGAATGGCCAAATTCAGTTTTTTGGGAGGGTTAGCTTTTTACTTCAGCTCAGCGAACACTCATCCTGACCGTATGCTGCCAGGAGTTAATTGGGCATGTTGGTAGACACTGGCTAAATCGCAAATCAAAGCCCTGCCCTCCCTGCCCAGCCCTGCACTCCACACACTGCAGTGGCCTCACCTCCCTTCCTTTCGTCCCCTGTCTTTGCTCCCACTGGTTCCTCTGCAGAGAGTGCTGTCCCTCCTATTTCCTCCACCTAGTGAATGCCTACTCCCGCTTTGAGATCTCACCTCCGGTGGGAACTGAATTGTAGCTTTTGTCCACTGTTAGGCCAAACATGTCCATTCATACATTCCCCTCCCTGCTGTGAGGATTTCTTGAACACCTACTGTATGACAAGTTCTGAGCATGCTTTTATTTCATCTAACCCTCACAGCATCCCTAGGTGGAGAGCAATCCCTCAGCAGACCTCTCCCTCAGGTTTCTGGATGGGGTCACGGGTCAGGAAGAAATGTGTTCAACTGCTAGTAACAGAAGAGTCACAAAATAATGAGGGCTTATTCCAAGATAGAACTTAGGCAGTCCAAGAACTCATTCCTGCCCACCCTTTTTGGACATTGTCAGTGTGTTGGTTTGGCCCCAAGACTCATCCATCAGCAAATTCTGTCAGCTCCCCATTCAAAATATATCCAGAATCCAAACCCTTCTCACCACCTCCACTGCCACCACCATCACCACTCACCTGGACTTCACAGTAGCCTCCTCCTCAGTGGTCCCCCTGCTTCTACCCTCGCCCTCCAGATTCCGTTCTACACTCAGCAGCCAGGGGGGATCCTGTTAAATCCTAAGTCAGATCCTGTCCCTCCTCTGCTCAGAACCTTCCCATAGCTCCTGCCTCATGCAGAATAAAAACCCAAGTCCTTACCATAGTCAACAAGGTCCTGCATCCTGCATGGCCTAACCCCCAGTCTCCTTTCTAACTTCACCTCCTACCCTCTCCCCCTTTCTAACTCCACTTTAACCACACCAGCCTCCTTAGTGGGCCTTCAACAAATCAGGCACGCTCCCACCTCAGGGCCTTTGCACTGACTGTTTCCTCTGGAGTTACCCAGATATCTACATGGCTCCCTCCCTTACCTCCTTCAAATCTTTGTCAAAGGTCCCCTTCTCTGGGGACTTTGCCTGACCTCTCTGTTTAATCCTGCCCACTCTCCCCCCACTCTCAGCCCTCTCGGTCCCCTTCCCCAAAGCCACCCACAAGAGAGGGTACAGTCCAGTATAGAGAAGAAGCAATGACCTCTACCCCTTTCTGCCCACCTGGCCCCCTAGCCCTCATTCTGCAAGGCTTCTGGTTCTCGCAACATCACCATTACCCCTCCCACACCTTGGCCTTGCTCAAGTAGCCTCCTGGGACTCTTTGGACCACCATCCTCGCTCAGTTTTCCTCCTACCTCTCTGGCCACTCCCTCTCAAGGAGGAAGTGATAGTAAGGGAGAGATGGTTTAGACGGGGTGTAAGGAGGATGCAGCCCATACCTCTGACCCTGAGAGAGAAAACCAGCTCCCTCTCCTGGGGTGGGACAGGGAACAAAGTCTCGTCTTCTGCAGCTGGCCTGGTTTATAGTTACACAGGAAGTGTAAGGAATGTTCAGACACAAGTCCATGAAGAGCAGGGAGTCATTAACCTTGGGGGCATACCTATAGTTGGCTCCCCAGGGTTCCTTCCTGATAAGCACACCCGACACCTCCTCCTTGCTCCCTCCCACATGCCAAACATCTGTTAAGTACCTACTGTACACGGGTCCTTCAGGTCCCCAAGCTGGGGATCTTATCCGAACCTTGGTGCCTCTCCTGGCTGCCTGGCACGCACAGACCATCTTTGGGTCTCAGAAGTGCCCCACCGACTCAGAAGCTTCCACCAGTGAAGTTTTGTTTTGAACTAATATTAGGGAGGGTTGGGTTGGGTTTGTTTTTTTTTTTTTTTTTTTTCTTTTTTTTTTCTATTCACCTTTTTTCCCCTTGTTTT